ATTCCTGACTTAATTGTGACCACTTGCAAGAAATGTCAGATGCCTCTGAGCCAAATGCCCATAAGGCAGGGGTCTCAAATTCACCTGGGGCTCTGGGCCAGATCCAGGCCCTGGGGTTCCTCATAGATCAGAACTTGTCAGAGGTAAGGAGTGGCCAACTTATCAGTGATGACAAGGAGTTTGGCAGCAGTGATGGGTCCAGGCAGGTGAGGGGTCTTGCAGTGAAAGCAGATCTAGATGCAGTGGTGGTGAAAGGTGTGGCACCAGTAGATCAGGGGACAGAAGTTCACTAGCAGTGGGAGTGTTCTGGGGGCAGCTGGTTGCCAATGGCCACAGCCAGTAGGGCCAAAGGGCCCTGAATTTCATGGCAGGCCCTCTTTCCCCGTCCTCCTCCAATATCTGGCCTGCTGGTAGCCCAGATGGACAGACAGAGAGGCTCTGTGGGTAGGTATGTTTAAACCACTGCTATGAGGCACAGTAGTTTTAAACTGAGAACGTTTAAAGGAAGTGGATCCAGGAGTGATGATAGTGTCTTTGCCCAGTGTTGAAGAGACATGATGGCCTCCTTTCCCAAGCAATTTAATATAGGTTAGATTGTTAATGGGTCTGTCTGCCTGTTCTATTTTATAATCAATTTTCATGTATACTTGTTTGAATACACATCTGCCCACACCATCATGCGTCCAACTAAAAGTCTACAAATACAAACTCTTTTTAATTATATATACCTTATCTTCTAAGTAGCTTTTTAGTTTGTTTAATTTACATAAATAATATAAAAGGGAACTGAAAAATTTTGCATCCAGGACTGTCCATGATCAGATATGGTTTAATTATTAATCAGTTTAATTTCCTAAAGTTTTACCTTTCCCATTTAATTAGCAGTAACAAGAATAGTTGTACTCAGTTTCATTAACAGACATCAGCTAATCAGAGCAAGTGTTATAAGATGAGGCTTTTTGTCTAGATGTAGAATATATTATAACCCCCTTTTCCATGGTATTAACTTTCTAGTAGTCTCTTGTCGTGGAAGTGGTACAAGGTAAACATTACCAATGAAAGAAAAAAAAAAAGGATTGGGGTTTGCCTACATCTTTATGTAG